GTGCTTGCTATGCTCGTCTCTGAACTTCACTTCCTCCTCCACCTCTTGGACCTTTAACTGTGGATGAGATGTTACTTCTATAAGAAACCAGGAGCTAGACAGTATAAAACCCTCTTCAGAGTAAGCTGAAGGTGGCAAATGGCAATCTTGGGCTGCTAATTCCCTCTAGGACTGCTCTTCTAGGCAGTACTGGGCAGAGCATCCTACCCAATAGCTGTAGGCAACATTCAAGGCCAGGAGGGTATCTTGGCATTCAAAACCTCTTACCCCACCCCCAGCCCCCTCACCCTTGCTTGGCTTCGGTTCCCCACCCCACAGTTTCCCACCTTCAAAAGAGGAACTTAGATGGGCACCAAGTGCACCTGCCTAACACGCAGGAAGACTTTGGTTCAATCTCCAGTGCTAGAGAGATAGAGAGAGGCGGGTGGGGAGGGAGAGAGAGAGAGGAAGGGAGGGAGGGAAGGAGAGAGAGAGGAAGAAAAATAAATCCTGAAAGAAACATGCAACATTTTAATTTATTATTTCATTTGTAATTTGATTTTTGTCTGTATTAGAAATAGAAAGAAAAAACTTACAATACCAAAAACACTGAAAATAATTTCATGTGTATAGGGCACATTATATATGTTTTCAAATTTCTCCTGGGTTAAAAAAAAATGAAAAGGGGGCTGGAGAGATGGTTCAGTGGTTAAGAGTACTTGGTGCTCTTCCAGAGGTCCTGAGTTCAATTCCTAGCAAGCACATGGGGTGGCTCACAACCATCTACAATCGGATCCGACGCCCTCTTATGGTGTGCAGGCAGACATGCAGACAGAACACTCATACATTAAGAAAATAAATACATAAATAATTTTTAAAAAATATATGAGGTTTTGTTATGGTTATGATCATATTATATTTATTTGTTTAAAATATTATTATATTTTTTCTCCTGCCTCCACCTTCCAGGTACTAGGATTAGAGGCACTACCACCTTGGCTAGTAACTAACACACAACTTAGACTGATTGAGGACTGTTTTGGCCACTAGTAGAGAAAAGAACATATTTTTGCCAATGATCTGAGCAGATAGACATTCATGTGCATCTCTTTGCCTCAGATGAAGACTGCCGTGGACTTTAGAAGCCAGTGTTCAGGTCTCAAGTGTTTGTAAAGTCTGTCTAACCCAATGTAAATACACCTGCAATATGCCTAGTGAGGGTTGCCAAGAAAGGGACAATTATAGAGCCACAGAATAGCAGCTTTCTCCTGGACCTCCAGATGTTTACTGTTATTTGTAATCACAATGTAATCTTCCTGGAATAGAAGTGAGTTAAAGGAATATAATTTTCCTCTGAAAAGGAGGGCAGACAGATGCTCCTTCGCTCACTCTGCTGTCATTCACCCGAGCCAGCAGTGTGGTGGACACTGACAAGCCCAGGAGCAAAACTACAGCTGTAGATGATGCCTTCCTCCCCTTAAAGTTGTTAGTTGCTGATTTGATTTTTCCTGAAAGGTAAAAAAAGCTATCTCACAATTTTGTTATAAAAGAAATTAATGAACCTGGGCAGTGGTGGCACATCCCTTTAATCCCAGCACTCGGTGGCATTTGAATATTTAAAGACAATGCAAAATAAATTTGAATACACATGCTTTTCTGTTTTCTAAAATGCTTTACTGTCCAAGTAATCCCTCAGACTATGATTTCTGACATTATAGTGATAGAGTTTGGGATGCAGGGAAGCTCTGGGGGACTTGTGTGGGGAGGTCTGCACAGTCCTGGGAAGCTGGACCTCACCACTGTGAGGGGCTTAGGGTCTGCCCACTCACCAGAGGGTGAAATGTGCCCTCTATGTGGGCATCAAGCACTGCCCCAGCAGTTGGGGAAGGAGAGAACTTCCTAGCTGGAGTTAGTGAAACCCCTTCCAGGTGCCTGCTGCATTTCCCAAGTCTTTCGTTAGTAAGCACTGCTCACAAAACGTGGACTCATTAGTTGTGAAAAGGGTCAGCAACAAAATTGAATTATTGCAATGTCTTTACTTTCTTTTTCTGAAACTGATGAAATAAATTTAGGGAGCAGCTATGCATCCTGTAAAGACACTTCAAAAAGCTGAAAAATGGACACTCTAGTAAAACAAAACACAACAAAACAAACAAACAAACAAACAAACAAAAAAAAAAAACCAGAAAGGCAGGTTATGGTGCTCAGTTGCTATAGTCCTTGCCTAGCAATGCAGCAGATCCTGGATTTAGTCTCTGGCATTGGGTGAGGCAAGAGGTTCAGAGTTCAAGATTATCCTTGGCTACAAAAAGTTTGAGGGGAGCTTAAACTATATGAGATCCTACTTCAAAAAAAATAAAGAAAGAAAGAAAGAAAGAAAAGAAAAGAAGGGAAGAGAAAAGTTCTATTGCATAGGGCTGCAGAGACAAGGCACACGCAGAGATCTCTGGGGTGGTACCCCAGGTGTGGCCCATGGCAGTCATAAATTTCAGATGGGTTGTTTTTCTGGTCAACCATCTGCTGTTATTCATAGGTCATCAGACCTTCTGGGTTCCACAAATCCAAAGGAAGTTTAGATTAGCATATCTTATGACACAGTGTTAGCCCCTTTCCTGGAATAGCTAGTTTTGCGGTTAATCATTAGGTACAAGGGGCATTGTTCAGTTTGCTGGGAGACAGAGACATTTTTCTTCACTGGTGTGGTCACTGGCTAGTTGCCCATGCTCCTGTGAGTAACCCTAATGAAACTCATAGACACACACACACACACACACACACACACACACACACACACACACACACACGAGGGGGATGCATAGGAGCATGAGCTAAAGAAATTGCACAAGGAAGGAAGGAAGAAAAGGAAAAAAAAAGTAAGAAAATGGAGGAAATGCTTTTAGAGGAAGGCACCCTGAAGGCAAAAGTCCCAGGACAAGATAGTAAACCACAGCCTTTCGTCAGCTTGACCTGTTGGGTGGCTTCAGTCAGAGATGTCATCAACAGCAAAGCTAGTGAGGAACCACACACGGGCCAGCGGTGTGTCCTCCACAATTAGTGAATTTCTAAAATGAACTGAAAGCAAAAGGAAGAAGTTCATTTAGCTTCCCCCATCAGTAAAGCCCTTCTTAACAAATGAGTGTGTGTCACCATAAATTGCCCCTCACTTTCTGGTGGCATCTCTATTTCCGGGTTCCTCTTCCAAACCACTCCATTGCAGCCTGCATGATCTAAGAAGGCTTTCCAACAATTCTTCCTGACAGGCCACAGTTTCCCCACTGTGTGCCTTCTCCCTTGAGCAAATAAATCTTATTTAACTGCCAATAGACTTTTGTGGAGTTGTTTATTCTTGCCACTTAGTTGCATTTGCTATGTAGCACTGCCTGGCTTCAAAGTCACAACCCTCCTGCCTCAGCCTGGATTTCATGTGTGTACTACCTACTACTCGACTCAAGTAGACTTTTTGCTGTTGCTGTTATGAAACAGGGTCTCCTGTAGCCCAGATGTCCTCAAACTCACTACTTAGCTGATGGATCTGGACTTGTGATCCTCCTGCCTGTCTCCTGAGTCCTGGGATTACTGGAATGTGTTACCATGCTGAGTTTTATACAGTGCTGGGGGTGGAATCCAGGGCTTCTTGCATGCTAAGCAAGCACTCTACCTGTTGAGCCTTCCAGCCTTCTTCAAACTCTGTCCTTTGAGCACTTCTAGGGATATCACTGTGTGGCCACCAGTGCCTCACAGGCTAGGTGGGGAAGCATCACGCCCCATCTGGCCAGCTTCTTCAGTGTTGCTTTCTCATGGGCCAGATCATCCAATGGACATGTGTGATTGGCTGTCTGACAGAGGAGACAGGAAACTGTCTATACGGCCAACTCCAAGCCAGAAAGATGGGAAAGAGTTGTTTCTTTGATTTTGGGGAAGTGAAATTCCAGTCTATTCTTTGGCTTGCTTTGGAGAAGAAATAATAAGCCAGGAACCCTAGGTAAAAATGAAAAATAACCTTGGTAATATCACAGACTCCACCCATCAGTCCTGCCTTCAGCAGTTAGTACTATAGTATACGTCAAGTAACAGTCTTATATTTCTGTCATTCCTTCTACACTCACAAACGGGAACTTTTAAAGAGAGTACGTACCATCCTCTCTAATAAAAATCTTGTTTATTTATTTATACTAACATTATATAGATATGACATGGATAACATAGAGGGAGAGAGAGAGAGTAATAATCTAACCATAACATTACATTTTGCTGAAATTCTCCTGAATCTGGCCATCAAATTGCCTCAGAAGTCTCCTACACTCAGCAGGATTTCGTTTGATTAGATCTACTCTTGGGGCCTTGTTTTTGTTTTTGTTTTTTGACACCATACTTCCCAGGTTCATCTTAGGCCTTCCTTCCTCAGTCCTGGAGTCACCCACTAGTGAACCCTGTTCTTTTTATTGATAATCAAGATTTGGGCACTAGGTGTGCCCTCTGGGTGGAGAAATGAGAACATTGTCTTTGTATGCCTCTATCATATCTGTGTGTCTATGTGCTCATAAACCTGCTTGCCTCATGGCTTCCTGAGTCCTGGCACATGTCCCTATGATTTGTAAATTCTTTTTTTTTGTTTTGTTTTTTTTTTTTTGTTTTAGACAAGATCTTGCTGTTGCTCAGGCTGGTCTAGAACTGGGCACTAGTGATCTTCCTGCTTTGGCTTCCCAGGTGCCTGGGACTACAGGCATGCGCTGCCTCGTTTGAGGTTTTGCTTATCTTTGAGTCTTCCACTATTGTGCTCACAAGTCTCATAGGGGCTCACCATTTGCACTTTCCAAGTTAACCCAGTTACAATCATTTTACTTAACAGAGCGCTTCCTGAATACCATAAGTTGTTCTCATCTGAGGCACTTGCCCTCCAGCAAGTCTATACAACTACCCCCCCCAATTGTTCTGACCAAGCCTTAGTGCTAAAGGTCTTGCTGATGCCAGAGTCACCCCATTGCAAAACAACACAGAAAGCAACTTGCTGGGGTCAGGGTGCTGGTTCTGGCAACTTTGAAGTGATGGAGTGGCTTGGATTCAGGAGAAACTGTCAAAACCTGAAGAGGCAGAGCAGGGGAGTGAGGGGGTGGTTAGTATGCACGAGGCTCTTCCACTTGGGAAAAGGTTGCTTTCTGTGGTTCTCTGGCCCTGACATTGTCACACGCTGCTCGATTGCTTCCCACCTCCTGGACAGCAGGTAGGTTCCTGTCTAAAAATAGATCAACTATCTTTTCATTGTGTTTGCCCATGAGAAGCATCTGTTCGCTGTACCAGTTCAGTGAATTCTTTCCCCTGGGGCCTCTGTCCCCTCTGAGGAGGAGACAGCAATTCTCTTAGAGATCAACAAGCTGATTCTCCAAGCTAGAGGAGCCCAGCAGTTCTAGCCTAGGAGCAGAACATATAACCTTCCCACGGCGACTCCAGGCTGCACACACCAACATTTTCTTTTTCAGATCAGGGCTTTTGAGACCTCGCATCAAAGATGGCTCAGGCACCAACAGTCATCGTGACTCAACCTGGATTTGTCCGTGCTCCCCAAAATTCCAACTGGCAGAGTAGCCTGTGTGATTGCTTCAGCGACTGCGGAGTCTGTAAGTGCCGGGAAGATGCTCCCATAATTGATACAGTGTCCGGTTCCTCCCTTACTGTGTTGAAAGTAGCTAACTTGTTATAGACACCTGGGCATCCTGGAGTGGTACAGTCAACATCAAAGACAGTCTACTGATTATAGCTGATCTTCTCCCGTCCATCGAAAACCATCATGCTACCCCTAAAATAAACCCTAGAGTTAAGGTAATTTTGGAAGTCTTAAATGATCCTAAAATGTAATGGGCTTGGCCTAATAATTATAAAAAAAACTGTTTTTTTTTAAAGATTTTATTTATTTATTATGTATACAACATTCTGCTTCCATGTATATCTGCACACCAGAAGAGGGCACCAGATCTCATTACAGATGGTTGTGAGCCTCCATGTGGTTGCTGGGAATTGAACTCAGGACCTCTGGATGAGCAGTCAGTGCTCTTAACCTCTGAGCCATCTCTCCAGCCCCTCTTTTTTTTCAGTTCTTAGAGCTGAAGGCTTCATCCTGTCAGTAATTCTGGGGACATGGCTTCAGGAAGTGTGAAGTGTTGTTTCACGTCGTTTTACTCTAGCTCTCTTCTGTAAATAGCAATTCGTAGTAAAGGAATTCATCTTTAAAAGTGAAATTCTGTTGGTTTAGATTTCATAGTTTAAAACTATTTTGTTGTTGTTATTTTTGAGACAGGGTTTCTCTGTGTAGCCCTGTCCTGGAACTCACTATGTAGACCAGGCTGGCCCTGAACTCACAGAGATGCCTCTGCCTCCTGAGTGCTGGGATTTAAAAAACAAACAAACAAAAGCAGCATCAACAAAATCTCTTCTTGGTTACACACATAGAATTAGATTCTTGTTTTCTAGTTAGATTGTATCCCATCACAGGACACTTTTTAGCCAGTTTCCACACACCCTCGGAGAACTGTTTTAATATGTACAGTTAAGTTCTCTCCCTCCCTCCCTCTCTCTCTCTCTCTCTCTCTCTCTCTCTCTCTCTCTCTCTCTCTCTCTCTCTGTGAGCTTGGAAGAAAGTGAGGTGGGGTGGCAAAGGGGGCCAGAGCCTTTGTTCTCAGCAAATCAGGAACAAAAGGCTTTCTTTGAAATCTGTTCCTAAGAATGGTAAGGAAACGCACACGTTTTAACTTGCAATGGAATGGAACTTGAAACTGAGTGACGTTAATAATTACATGGAGAGCACAGACAGAAGGAATTACATGCAAGCCTCATCACCAGCTGTCCTTGACTTACTAGGTAACAGGGCTCCCTAATGTGTCTCATGACGTTGTTTTGACATCTGCAAATCAAAGTGATAATAAAGACTTACAATAGGCAAATTCCTTAAACATTAATGTTTGATCCTCCAGCCCCAAGTTATTACTCAATTATTTGAATGTACAATTACTTGGATATTCGAATTTTAATGTAGGGCTGACAAGATGACGCAGTGGGAGAAGTGCCTGTGGTCAAACCTAACAGCCTGAATTTCAGCCCCAGGAACCACGTGGTGGAAGGAGAGGACCAACTCCTTAAAAATTATCCTCTAACCTTCACACTTGTATCCACACACAAATACATTCAATGAAATTTAATTTTTAGAAGGGGTGGGGAAAGCTTTGTTGTTTTATAGCAGATTTTTTTCTTTCCTTTACTCTTCTTTTTTTTTTTTTTTTTTTTCCAAGACAAGGTTACTGTGTGTCCTGGAACTCACACTGTAGAGCAAGTTGGCCTTGAACTCAGAGATCCTCCTGCCTCTACCTCTCCAGTACTGAAATTAAAAGTGTGCACCACCACCATCTAGTTTATAGAAAATTTTCTTAAATGCAGATCTGACCAAATAATTTTCACCTTACAAAATACTTGGTGGTTCTTCCTGGCCTTGATGGCATACATGAACATGTCCCAATCTGTCCTCAACACACACACACACACACACACACACACACACACACACAACCTTAAGCCTGTGTCACCCCCTACCTTCATCCCCAGCCTATCTCAGGACCTTGGCCATGGTGAATGGATATGACAAATTATCTCAAAGAGGCTTTGTTCCCTTTGGTTCCTTCATGATCCAGCTCAGGTGGTATTTCCTACTCAGGGCCTTAGAGGCTGTGGTCTGAAGTGAACCTAGTTCTATACCAGACATTCTTTGCTATCGTATCCATGTTGGATTCAGTTGGGAGCATTGTTAATACCAAGGATTTTACCTGGAGCACGGGTTCCTTTCAGTAATAAACACAAGTGTCACTGCTGCAAAGAGCTAGGTCTTTTCCATGTACAGTCACTCTTGAAGTGGGGAGGAGGTGGTGGGGGGTGGGGGTTGCAAACAATGAAGACAGACTTGGCAGCAGAGATGGGAAAGGCCTCATGATATGACTGCTGTTGATGTAGCTGATGGAGGCAGACTGGAGTAATGTGTACCCGACTTTCCTGTTTCCAGGCCTCTGTGGGACATTTTGCTTTACATGTCTTGGGTGTCAAGTGGCAGCTGACATGAATGAATGCTGCTTGTGTGGGACAACGGTGGCAATGAGGACTCTCTACCGAACCCGATACGGCATTCCCGTGAGTCACCTTTTATCATTCCAGTCTGCAACCAAATTTACCATAGGAGTGGCTGCCATTTGATGGTACCTAGGCTCTGAATTTGATTGGCCAGAGTTTTGTAGCATGTACAACCTTAAATTCAGTTGACACAACAGTAGTTCCTCTCCTGATGTACCCTCTGAATATCCTAGAAAGCCAGTAATTCATATTTGCAATGTGTATAATACAATAGAGTATTATCTAGAACCTCCTGCACCTTAGGTGCCTGAACACTCCACCATCCTTGTGATGCCTGTATGTGTTGTGGGAGTGGGGTCCCCATATTTTATCAATGAAGACTTCAAAGTTTATAAGAAGCAAAGTCTTTGGCCCAGAAGTGTGCCCCAGTATCAGAGAGAGATGATATCCAATCCAAACTGTTTGTGCATGCACTTTTCATTACTCCTACGTCACTGTATGAAATGGGGTGGTTTTTAATCACTTACACAAAGAAACAGTCAATAGGGTGATTAGATGTGTGTGCATATGTGTATGTACACATATTTCTATATACCATATAGGAATGTGCAGTGTGTGTGTGTGTGTGTGTGTGTGTGTGTGTTTGGACACCTCTTCATATATAGAGAGAAACAGAGACAGAGGTAAAGAAAAGGTCGAATGGTGGTGGCAGTCCTTTAATCCCAGCACTCAGGATGCAGAGGTAGGAGGATCTCTGAGTTTGAGGCCAGCCTGGTCTACAGAGCAAGTTCCAGGACAGTCAGGGCTACACAGAGAAACCCTGTCTCAAAAAGAAACAAACAAAGGAAGTCAGAGAGAGAAAGAGAGAGGCATTTATTTTAAAATCATGCAATGATGGAAGCCAGTAAGTCCAAAACTTGAAGAGTAGGCTGTCAATCTAGATCCTCATGGATGAATTGAAGTCCACAGGCAGTTTACGAGCAGGATTCTTCCTTATTCAAGGGAAATCCATCTCCTCCTCCTCCTCCTCCTCCTCCTCCTCTTCCTCCTCCAAGGTCTTCAACTAGCTGAGCATGGTAGCACACACAACTGTAATCTTAGGACTTGGGAGCTTGAGGTAGGAAGGTTGGGAGTTTGACACCAGCCTGAGCAGCACAGTGTGACCCTGTCAGAAGGAAAGGAAGGAAGGAGGAACAGACAGAGCTGAAGAGAGATCGGTCAGTAGAGCGCTTGCCCTGTGAGCCTGAGTTCAGTCCCATCACTGGGAAGGTGGAGACCAATGGACCTCTGTGGCTCCGTGGTCTAATCAATTAGTCTCAGGTCCTGATTATAAAAAGGTCCTCACAAATTGGAAGCCAGGTCCAGCTACATTATGTGAAATGATCCGATGTATCCCAAGTCTATAGAGTTAAATGTTAACTTTATCTCAAATATATCTTCAAAAACCATCTAGAATAATGTTGAATCAAATACTTATATTCAGCTATGGCACAGACAAGGTAACACATAAACTTAACCATCACGGGGAACAAACAAATGTGCAACATTTTCTAGGAACCTGATTTATTTCATTGTAATTATTTTGTTTCACCTGAGGAATTTTAATTCGTTTTATCAGAGAGAAATGTTAAAATATCTAACCAATTTAAATTGAAATATATGAAGTAAAAGGTGAGAGGTGAACCTTTAACAGCCAAGTCTACTGCTTGGTAATGAGCGATGACGTGTGTGCATCCTCTGTAGAATGTTTCTATCCCTGAAACTCACAGAAATACATGGGTGTGAATGCTGGTGGTATGTGAACTGACAGCCTCCAAGGGATGTCTGGCAGGATCTTTCCGAGTGTTCGTACCCTGTGAGCTAGCGCAATCTAGTATCTAGGACACTACCTATTGTTTTCTAACGTGCCTCTCCTAAAGGCCCACATGAGGAGGCCCTGGGTTAGGTCATCCCAGGAGAATGCACTGGCATGGTTGTGTCTGCTTCCCACCTCCCCAGCTCCTTGCTGCTCAGTTTGAGGTTCCAGTGTCACCACTCCTTCCCCAAGGCTGCCAGGTTACCGGTTCTGCCACTCTGCTAGACTTTCTCCTCCACTGACCTGTACTCAAGTTTCTCAGGATTCTTGGCCTACTGAAGACCACCAGTCCATTTCCTAATGTGGCTTTCTTTTTTAATGGATGAAAGCCCTGAAGCAAATTGTTATTGAAATGATCTCATTTTATATATCATCAAGAAAACCATTTACCAACTTCCTTCGCCTATTTGGCCATCTACAGACCTCCTCCTCCTCCTCTTCCTCCTCCTCCTCCTTCTCATTCTTCTCCTTCTTCTCCTTCCTCTTCTTCTTCTTTTCCTTGAATATTCACTTCTCAATGTGAGCTTTACCTATAGACTACCCAGAGACCCAGGCTTTTTAGTCCTGTGTCCCTTCCAGGAACACACTCCCCACTCCCTCCTACACAGTTCTCTGTACCTTTGAATAATTCTGTGTCCAGGTTTTATATCTGACCCCAGTGTTTCTTCATTCAGCATCACAGCCAATGTCCTATAGTGGATGCGGTTGCATTTCCTGTCAATCTTTTACTTTTCTATTAGTACCTAAGAGTACTGTGACCCCAAATTGTCTCCCACTTCCCTAATTCTCTTCCTAAAATGTTCACTGCATCACATGTCCTGTGTTTCATCTGCTCTAATGGCTTTGAGCCACTAGCTTCCCAGCTGTGAGAACTGACTTTCTCTTTATTGTACCCTTGGACTTGGTAGTTTGATTGAATTTTATATTCTGAGAATTATAAAGTACTGGAACAGAGAGGCAAGTGTTCCGTGGAAAAGTCAGCTAGGGTTTTCCTGGAGATATTCGTCTAAATCGAATCCAGGGCCAATGAGATGGCTCAGCTGATAAAAGTACTCCCCATCAAACTGGAAGACCCGGGCCCACATGATGGAAGGAGAGAAATGACTCCTGAAGTTTTCCTCTGACCTCTGTGCTCGGGTACATACACACACACACACACACACACACACACACACACACACACACGCGCACAGACACACAGAGACACATGCACACACAGAGAGACATACACAGAGGCACAGACACACACACACAGGCACAGACACATATACACACACAGACATACACAGACACAGACACAGACACACACACATGAAATAAATCATAAAAAGAAATGAAGTAAACTGAATCCAAAGAGTTAGAGCTTTTGGTTCTCTTTAAAATGCCTTAAAAACCACAAGCAACAGGGCATACATTCACATGTCTTCGTGTCTTCCACAGGGATCTATTTGTGAGGACTTTATGGTCACCCTCTGCTGTCCTGTTTGCTCTCTGTGCCAAATCAAGAGAGACATTAACCGGAGGAGAGCCATGAATGCTTTCTAAGGAGCTGGTTGGTGAGTAGCTATGGGCTTGGGAAACAGAATTAGGGGCTGGGGAAATTATTCACTGTTGAGAATAAAACTCAAAATGGCAATTTCTTAAGTCTCCCAAAGTGCTGTCTCATTATAATAAGATAATTGGTTTTGATTTCTTCTTACTTGGAGGCATATTTTGGTATTGGTAAATTTTCATAAACTTAACAGCATTATTTTGGTATATTAATGAAGCAGCTTACAGCTTACAACTTATTAGCTACCAGAGTACAGTAAACAAAAAAGAAGTTGAAGTTGGGCATGGTGGTTCAGGAGGCACCAGAAGGGCTGCCCTCAAACCCAACCTGGTTTATGTAAGTTCCAGGCTAGTCAGGGCTATGAGGGCTATGACAGGCTAAGAAGGGTCTCGGAAAATGAGGGGTGGGGTTATGGTTCACTGTGTCAATTGCTTGCTGTGTAAGCACAAGGAGCAGAGATTGGATACCCAGAACCTCTGTGTGTGTGTGTGTGTGTGTGTGTGTCTGCATGTGCAAGTGTGTGTGTGATTGGTTCTGTGTGTATGAGCATGTGTGAAAGCTGGGCACAGCAGCCTGTAACCCCAATATGGCAGTGTAGGGGGCAGAAACAGTGGACCCCTGGGGCCCACTGGCTAGCAAATCTAGCCAAAAGGGCAAATTTCAGGTTAGTAAGCTCTTGTCTAGAAAATGAGAGTGGAGAAGTGATGGAGGAAAGATATTTCAATGTCAACCTGGCCCCCTGCATAGGTGAACATACCTGCATGTAAAAAAACACACACACACACAGACACATGGAAATAGAGTGTGTGTTTTTAAAACTGAAAAGACAAATAAAAAAGAAGCCAAAGAACAATGTGGAGATATATATATCTATATATATATCTATCTATCTATATAGATAGATATATATATATAGTTAAAAAGTGTACACATGTACACAGTCAGGTACACAGGCAAAATAATTGTACACATAAAATAATTTAAAACTTTAAAAAACAAGTAAAGGATGCCTGATACACTATTAGGTGAGAAGAACCTATGGAATAACAAGAACCCAGTGCAGTTCAGTGCTTGGACAAGATCCCAGAACAGAAAGGACAGCTTGGAGAAAATGTGAGGAATCGGACTCTAATCTGAATCAAGTCCACTCTGGTTAACAACGTGCCAATGTCGGCTGTCAGCTGTGATAAACCTCCACACTAACCTAATGTTAACAGGGAAATGGGCACAGAGTGTCTGGGAACTGTGTAACTTCTCTGTGTTGCAAATTAATGTTTGTGCAAATTAATGTTTATTAAAAAACAAATGTTTATTTGTTTTTTAATAAACATTGTTTATTAATGTTTATTAAAAAACAAAAAAGTGGATTAAGAAATTCCCAAATAATTCTTGCTTCCCTCACAGGTGAGAGCTCTCGCTGAAGCAGCTGAACTCTCCAGCTCGAGTCTCTCCAAATCTTTTGCAATTGAGATGCGATGGATGGCAAGATAATTACAAGATGATGGCATTTTAGAAATAAATTTTTGACTTATTTTAAATGGATGTTGCTCTTTGACCTGGTTTCTCCTTGCTCCCTTATCAGCAAATAGTCCAGCTTATATGTTTTTTTACACTTTAAACACAAACCAAATAAAAGATTTTACTAAGAGGATTGTTTTGTTTTGTGTGCGGTACTGGGGGTTAAAGTTACAGCCTTGTAGGTGCTAAGTAACGGCTACACCCCGAAGCCCCACCTTTAGCCCCTAGCTACAATCTTTATGCATCTTTGCCTTCACTCAAATCCTTTTGATACCAATTAAGGATTCAATTTCTTCATACCACAACACTCCATCCCTCTCTCACCCCCTTGCAGTTGTTAAGTGTCTGGACTTTCATCAATAGCACTTAGATCCATGAAGCTTGAGGTGGGGTGTAGAAGCCACAAGCTATAGCTAATGAACTATTCTGAGACACTTTTCTTCCCTGTTACTCATCAGTGTGTTACTGACAGAGCAAGACTTTCTGCAGTGAAAATCCCAGGTGTGGTCAGACTTTCCTTTGGGCCATCAGCGCAGAAAACATGGCATAGAGACTTATTAATTATGAAAGTTTGGCCTATAGCTTAGGCTTGTCCCACTAGCTCTTATAACTTAAATTAACCCATTTATAGTAATCTACATTTTGCCTCTTGATTTTTTACCTCTCTTTTACCTTGCATCTCCTGTTTCCTCTCCCTGTCTTTTGCTGTCTCTCCCGCACCTACATTCATCTCTTCCTCTCTCTCTGCCCGGAAGTCCTGCCTATCCTCTCTGCTTAGCTATTGGCTATTCAGATCTTCAGTAAACCAATCAAAAGGTGCCTTGGCAAAGACTCATCTTTACAGTATATGGAAAGATTATTCCACAACACCCAGGTCTGGCTGCTAACTGAATGTTTGAGAGGTTTGTGGTATTTTATATTTTATATTTTTAAATACGAGCTAGTGATGTCGGAGAAATTCAAAATAATAAAATTGATGTTATAAAAGATTTACCAATAGATTTGGTGTATTTAAGAAATAGATAATTCCGGCAACGTCTATGCTATGAAAATCTCCCATCTTCCCAAGTGACCAGATTCACATTCTCCTGTCTCTGTTTAGATTACTCAAAGCATAACCCAGGGTGAGGACAAAAAAAAAGAGACTGATGGACGACAGTGCATGTAAAATGCACAAGCCTACCGTGTGTAACAGTAAAGTCAGCAATTGAGGCCAGCTCTTATTTGGATGTTAGCTGCAGCCAGCCACACATTTTAATAAAGGGCTTTCTCTTTTCTTTTTTGAGAGCTGGGAAAGCATATAATTTATATAACAATAGTCATAAAATTGCCATTGTCTAAGGCAATGACTCAGTTTTGGTTAAATATTGATGGACAAATATATGAGACAAATTTTTAAAACCATTTTTTTATCCTTCTGTTATGAATCTTATTTGCGAATTCCCACAAGTCATTCAAAGCTCGAGTCCACTTCATTTGTTAGGGTCAAGGAGGACTTAGCCATCTACCAAGTAGATTTATTGTGAAACTTTAGTAAGACTTCCTTTTTTAATTAATTTCTTTTTCATGTGCACTGGTGTTTTGCCTGCATTTGCATTTGTGTGAAGACATCAGAACCCCGGAACAGACATTTATGGGCTGCCTTGTAGGTGCTGGGAATTGAACCTGGGTCCTCTACAAGAGCAGCCCATGCTTTTAACTGATGAACCATCTCTTCAGCCCCTCGGCACCGACATTTCATAGACAACAATCACAAGTGCTTGGGCCCTTCTTTTCCTGCTCATGGAGCAGAGTGCTTCGTGGAGCTCTACTCTCCCCTTTCACAACTGCATAACAAACAAACAAAAAGAGTAGACACCTTTGCCTAGTTTCCAGTTATATGTGGAGATGGATAGTCTCTCGCTATTAATGTGCAATTAGCTATACATTTTTTGTCTACATCCTTTACCAAGGTGATGTGGTCCACTTCTCTTGCTAACTTCCTGACTCTTAATCATGAACGAGTTTGATTGTATCAGGTGCTTTTTCTGTGCCCACTCATGGTGTGGATCACATCAGTCAGCTTTCAAAGCTGGCCTAGCCGTGCATACCTGGATTAATGCCACTTGGTTGTAGTGGCAGTTATTTATCTGGTGTTGGATCTGACTTACACTTGATCTAATAGGTATCTCTGTCCTAAATTAAAACTTTCACACACAAAAACAAAACTTCTTGATACTGGTTTTCATGTAGCCTAGTAGGCCTCCTCCTCACTAAACGGCTGAGGATGACCTTGAACTCTGATCTGAAGGCTTCAGATTGTAGGAGTTACAGGAGTGTGTCACCACACCCAGTTTTTATTTGTGCTGAGAATTGAACCCAGGGCTTTGAATGAAGTAAGCAAGCATTCCACTGAGTTCCATCCCCAGTGCCATTTATTTTTAAGAATGTTTTTGATGTAAGGTCTAACAAGCTGGCCCCAGACTTTTGATCCTCCTGCCCCAGTTCTCCTAGTGCTGGAATTTCAGGCATGTACCAGCATAACCATTTCAGCAAAGCTTGACTGGTCCCGATTCTTTCGTAGATCTGAGGGGTTTTTTGTTTGTTTGTTTGTTTTTAACCCACATCACTTCTTCTATTTCTCTTAGAAGAATTTCTTTTGATACTTCTGGTATGACAGATCCCACCCCTGCAAAAAAATCCATTTTCATTTTGTCAGTCTTTCTCTTCTCACTTCTAAAGTATAATTTTGTTGTGTAAAAGTCTATACTGGGTTTCTCTCTCAATACCTTAAATATCTCTGCTCTGTTCTTGAGTGACTTCTGAAGAGAAAGCCAATATGAGTCTTATTCATGTTTCCTCTCCAGGTGAGGTGTTTTGTCTTTTCCAATATCCCCTGTCTCTGGTTACTGCAATTCAAATGTGATATGTATGTATGTATGTATGTATGTATGTATGTATGTATGTATATGTATCCATGCCAGCGTTCAAAATAACTAATACTGTCCCCAGTTTGTAATCAGAGCTCTTGCTTTGTTTGATACAGGGTCTTTTTATATAGTCTTGACTGATTTGAAACTCACAGAGAACCCCTGCCTCCCTTCAGAGTGCTGGCTTACAGGTGTCAGCCACCACGATGGGCAATTTTCCAATGTTTTTGTTTGTTTGTTTGTTTGTTTGTTTTTTCTACATTTGTTTTTGAAACTGGAGAGTGAACTCAGGCTGAATGCAGACTATGCGTGGCTTTACCACTGAGCTATACCCAGAACTCCTACTTAATGTTTTTGTTGTTTTATTTTTTGAAGCAAGGTCTTGCTGTGTAACCTGGGCTAGCCTCAAACTTGAAATCCTCCCATGTCAGCCTTCCAAGCGCTGAGACAGGCATGTGTTTCCACACCTGATGCTACTTAGGTTTATAAACTTCCTGCATCTGTAACTTGGTAAACTTTGGAACACTGTTATGCATTACTTCAAATATTCTCTTCCTTTCTTCTTCTGGCATTGTCATTACATGTGAACTTTCACAATTCCCCCACAGTTCTTAGATATCCTTCTAGTTCCCCTTTGCCACGTTACACTTGAGTTTGGGAAGGTTTTACTGTGGACAGCTACAGTTTCTGTGGCTTTGGGCTCACTACTTCTCCTCTTAGCCATCTCCAGCCTAAAGACCAGATCAGCAGTAGGTATTCATTTCTTTCACTGTGCTTATTCTTGCACTTCCTTTCAAACTGTTTATATACCCATCTATTCTTATGTGTGGTCAACTTTTCCTTAGCATATTAATCAATGTTGCTTTTAATTTCTAGTCTGATAATTCCAACACCCCCTCATTATATGTTAGTCTTGTTCTAACGCCTGCTATATCTCCCTCCCTCAATGGCTCTCATCTGTTACCTATCTTGGTAGTGTTTGGCTCGAAGTTGGACATGATGCATGAGGTACCAGGCTACAGGTAATTAGGCTTTTGCTGGGAGGTTTTGTGCTAGTCTGAGCAGGAACTGGACCAACTGTTCCCTATAGCTATAACTGAAAGAGGCTGCGGTTTCCTTGTTTTCCTGTTTGTTCTGAGGGAGAGGCTCTCGGAATTCCTTCTTTGGATGTCTTGCACTCTGACAGCCATATCCCTGATGATATGGTAATATCTGGGAATCACTCTATATTATGGTCATGTTTGTTTAGCTGTATATGACATATATGTGAACAGGGCCAGACATGTGCCATGTGGAAGCTAATTTTTAAATTATTTTTTAGAATTTGTTTTTTTGTGTATAAGTGTTTTGCATGTATGTCTAGGCCTCACTTGCACACCTGGTACCTTCAGAAGCTAGAAAGGGGAATGAATCCCCATAACTGGAGTTACAGATGGTTGTGAACCACCAGGAAGGGGCTGGGAATTGAACCTGGGTCCTCTGGAAGAACAGCCAGTGAACCATATCTCCATCCCCAGAGGACAAATTTTTTAAGTTGGCTCTTGACTTCCACCCTGTTTTGCCACAGGGTCTCCCTTGGGATTGTCACACTGCATACTCCAGGCTAGCTGGCTTTTCAGAATTGTCTCCTGTCTGGCCTCAAAGCTCATCATGGTATTGTTGGACTAGAGAAACACACCATTATCTCTTCATGTGAGCTTTAGGAGCTGAACTCACATCAGCAGGCTTCATGGCAACTGCTTTTACTGGCTGAGCCATCTTTCTGACCTCATATGTCTAGTTCTTATTTAGCCTGAGTCCCTGCGCTTGACCTTCAGAAGTATCTATTGTTCCTACAATTGCAGGAAACAAAATATTTAATTGTGCATCAGTTCTCTAAGTCAGACAAAGCCATGGCAAAGTAATTTCCCTTACAGGAAATGTGTATCTTATGGAAAATAACTTGGTATTATTTCAATATAAGCTACTGTTCCCCAGGTATATTTCAAAACAATGAGAGAACTTCAAAAGTTACCACCCCAACTCCCTTTGGCTGCTGAAAGGCAAAGAATTCCAATGGTAACCTGAGAATCCACTCTGCAGGAAGGTCAGTTCTATTTAGTTGCTAAGCAAGTACTAGCTCCAGTAGCATCACAATTCTCCACCCCGCCCATCTGTTCAGGTTTAGGGGTAGTCCATGTGACTTCGGTTTTCCGATGAATCTAAGACAAGACACTGTTTCA